GTCTCTGTCTCTGTCTCCTTTCATCGCCTGATAAAGGTTAATATTCAGGAGGATGCCTATATGTTTTTCTTTGGGTTCTCCTATCCAGCAAAAGTTTTCAACTTCTTTCTCTATGGACCACTCCCTGCCCTCTTTGCTGAAGTGGCATCCCATTTATATCTCTATATAAACCTCAAAATTCATCATCTCATATACTACTCTACTGTTTTAGACTGAAATCCTAAGAACAGAGGTAACTGAACCTTGTAATAATTTCTAAGGGTTCCTTCCAGCAATGTCCAGTGTCAAGCAACAACATATTATCCACTGAGGACTTGCCACCCTTGTATCTACCCAATTGAATTTAGTCCATATAAGTTAGATATTATTTTTCCTATAAAACTAAAAATAATTATCACTCAGACATATCTTTAAAAAAATTTGGGGGTATATTAACTGTTCTTGAAAACTGATAAATCCTCAGTTTCATTTGATAACCTTCTATATTACCAGACATGTAATAGTCACAACTTAATTTTCATCTTTATTTAGATTTTTGCATTCTTTTCTCCTTTTTGAGGCAGAATCTCTCTCTCTAACCTTGGCTAGTGTATAACTCTATGTAGCCTAAATTGTTCTCAAACTCCAAAGATCCCCGTGCTAGCTAACAACATGCATCATGTTTATGGATGTGTGTGTGTATTTTTCCAACAAAACATACTGAGTTATCAACATTATCTATCAGCTACCCTTGTCATGTCCATTGTTCTTTTAACCATAGCATATCTAGTAACAAGCATACTGTCCAGTACTGAACCTAAGTAGTATAATTCATGTTATTGTGCAATGTAGTCTTACAGGTAAGACATCACCTTTATAATCTTAACCTGTTATTAGTTTTAGACCTTGTAGGAGACTCACATAAGATTAGGCCAATTAACTTCCTGTGAAGTAGCATGGCTCATGACTCTCCATTCCTCCCCAAGGATTTCTAAGAAGTTCATGATTACTAGGAAAGAGACATTTTCTTTATTGGTGTAGGTACTCACAATTTGCCTGTACTTCCATAAGTAGTCAAAATTAAACTCATTTGTACATCCAGCTAGTGGTAAGTGAATTCATTTCTTTTGTCTGTTGTTGATAAAAAAATCTAATGTAAATAGATATTTGCTATTTTGTTATAGAATATTTGTACACTATGTGAAATTATATTTCTATGATTGGTGTTATTAAGAGCAGAATGGGCAATAGCTTGGTTAGAGTTATAGGTAGGACTTTGGGACAAAGAGAGGACTCTGGGAAGAAGAAAAGCAGAATTGTCAGCTAGACATGGAGAGGAAACAGGAGGTGCAAGATGGATGAGAGATAACTCCATATGGCAGAATGTAGGTTAATATAAGTAGGTTAATTTAAATTATAAGAGCTAGGTGAGACAGTCCTAAGCTAAAGGACAAGCTCTCATAATTAATAATAGGTCTCTGTGTCATTATTTGGTGGCTAGTGAGCCAATGCCAGTCTTACAATAAACTTGTTACACTAACCATCCCAGGAAAATATTATACAATAGTTATGCCAGTTATGATAAACAAAATCATATCTGCATATTGCTGAATACCACCTCTGGGGAAAGCATCACATTTGGTTGAAGAATTCTAATCTGTAAGATTAGAAGCCAGGAGTCCCCTACTTCCACACTGAATTTTTTTTGACCTATTCAGCAATTTTCATTTTTGTTGTGCTATTACTACCAAGTCTACAGTTAGAACATAGTGTATAACCTTAGCAGTAGTTGTATACTCTGATTAAGAGAGGCTTTCTACACTAAAAGCAGAACGTAAAAGAAATTTTCTGTTTGCTAGTAAATGCACAAGTCAAAAGTGGATATGACAATATGATCCATTGTATGTAAAACGACATTGAAACCTAAGGACTGATAGGCTAAGATCAACCTACCATGATACCTAGGAGGTAGTAACACAGAGTGATGCTCTTTCAGATACCATTATTAATCACACAAATATTGATAATTACTTTAATTGATAAATATAACTGTAAATTATACCTTTTAAATTCATGTAATAACTTTAGAAAGCAAACATTTATGATAAAACTCACCATAACTGAGGTTCATGAATTTCAGCACTCACCATGAGCCATTTGATGAGTACTTAGCAATTTATATGCTTTGGGATATTTTCACTATATTTAAGGTATTTTATTAATAGTTTCCTGAGATTAAGAGAAACTGTGGAGCTAAAGAACCAACATGGCTTAAAATGTGTCTAAGAATAGTTTAGATAGAGAAGAGGTAGACTTAAAGACAAAGAATCTTCTAATATTGCATCTTGGCATTGGAAAGAATGACCCAGTCACATGGTGATTTAAGAAGGAATGACCCTTATAGGCTCATATATTTTAAAGTTGGTCATTAGCGAGTGGTGCTATTTGAAAAAGATTAGTAGGTGTGACCTTGTTGAAAAAGGTATCATCTTGTTGAGGGAAGTGTGACACTGGGGGTGGACTTTGGTGTTCAAAATGCTTAAGCACGGGTCATTGTTTATCTTTTTTTTCTTATAAGATATTTAATGGGAGTTGGCTTACACTTCAGAGGTTTAGTCCATTATCTTTTGTTGCTACATATGGATCCAGATCCAGATATAGAACTCTCAGCTCATTCAGCACCATGTTTGCCTGTTATGCCACCATGCTTCCTGCCATGACAATGAAATAAAGCTCTAAACCTGTAAACCAGCCCAATGAAATGTTTCCCTTTATAAGAGTTGTCATGGCATGGTGTCTTTTCATAGTAATTGAATACTGATGAAAACTATCAGGAACACCCATATGATCTTTCCCTCACCCATCCTCTCTACAAGGCCAGAAAAGACTTTTCTGTCCTTCTTCCAAAGTGATACAAAGCAACCCTCTTCCGCAGGTGTGTCTCTCCTGTGCCTGGAAAAAATTAATAACACATGGAGAGGCCAAGAAAAATATAAGCAGGCTTTGTAAACCACCAGCATTACACAGCACATTCAACATTATACAATGTGCATTTGCTTTTTGTTTATAGTTCTACACATACAAAAGATCCCCATAGTCTTTCTTGTGTTTTTGCTATTTACTTATAAAGGCTTTATGTCTCATAGGAGCCCGCATGTCACATAGTGTGAACATGATATGCTTTCCTCTCATCAATCCATCGTTTAATATGAGTTTCTCTGTAAACTCTATTACTTTGATCTGATAGAAGGCAACAAAAAGTTTCCAGAAAATAGCAACAGAATGCAAGTTAATCATTTCTGTGGGAATAGAGCATTTAAATTTTAAATCAAGGTGCTTATCACTATGAGGACTAGGGATGAACTCTCAATAGACTAAAAATTTCACATCTGCTTTGAATGAACACTTGAAGACATAAAGATCTGTATTTAGGTTCCTAAGGCAAATATCATTTTAATGAATTTAACTATGTCAGAATGGCAGTGAACTTATTTGCAACATTATATGGAATATGGTGAAATAAAAAAAATATACCAGGCAAGAGATTGGGTGGAGAAAAGAACAAAAAGGAAGAGAGAGAGAGAGAGAGAGAGAGAGAGAGAGAGAGAGAGAGAGAGAGANAGAGAGAGAGAGAGAGAGAGAGAGAGAGAGAGAGAGAGAGAGAGGCCCTTGCTATTCCTATAGTAAACTAAGTGTGTATACTGGCATTTTCTCATGTTAATATTTGGATAAAGACTGCACGGTTAAGGACCATAGGAGAAATCACTAGAGGATTTCCTCCAACATTTTTGTAAATTTCAATCTGTTGTAAAAATTATAGTTTTGTTTCATTTTTATGTGAGGAGCAAAAATTTTAATAATGCCACTGTCAAGTGAAAAAAAAAATCATTAGAACAAGAGAAAAAGTTCAACAGCAGGGACTGCTATACCATCAAGTCTTTAAGGGGGTTGAGTTGCCTGTGTTTTTGCAATTACAAAGCATACCCCTTAGCCCTTCTATGATCCCTTTTTTTAGCATGTGTGCCCTGGCTCTCACTTCCTCCTCTTACTAATTAGGCTGTTTTATGTGCATTTCAGCATGCAATATTTCATATTTAATAACCTTGCATCAGAAGAAAGGGGAAGCCAAAGGGGCTGGAATTTATTGCCAGGTGTTCTGGAAGGCATCTGGAGCATTTACGGTGGGCCTACAAAATTCCTCAATACCCTGAGGAATCCACTACTACCCTTTCAGGAATCCAATAAGTTTCAGCTGAGAATCCTATAAATACCTCAGAGTGAGAGCCTTAACCTGCTCATGCTCATTCACTGGGCCTTCAGGAGACAGGAAGTTAAGAGTAGCTATAATTGGCCTTCACATTTAGCACCTTGTTAACATATATTGAGGAAGTTCACACCTCTAATCTCTTGTTGCTAATGTCAGCCTGTTAGAATTTGAACTCCTAGGAAGAGATTGTAAGGCTAGAAATGTTTTCTCCAAGTTCTAGGAAAGGAATTCAAATGTCTCCAGCGAGATATGGAAAGTGACAACGTAGGGATCTTCAACCCCTGGGGCAGCTTCAAAGATCAAAGGTGAATGTCACCAAGTGTCACTGAATGTCTCCACGCCTCCAGGTTATTTTAAAAGCATTAGTGCAATTCTTTCTTTTCTTAGAAGTCATAGAAGAGCCCAGCTCTTTGACTTAGAGTGTACATAGCACTTCACTCGCTGCTGCAAAGTCCACGCCCTACCAGTCCTTTAATATTCTGCTCAAATCTATTGCCTTTCACAAATTTCTAATCAGCAGCAGCTCCTGTAGTTCATGTAGCTGTTTTCCACTTCCAAATGGAAAAATTACAATTTTTACTCGAAGCCTTACATATCCCTGTTCGTTCTCATATGTGCTTACTATCTTTATTAGAACAAATTGGGTACCTTATTATATAGGGATCTCGTTTGTCTTTTACAAACTCTTTAGGGAGTAAAATAACGGACCCCCTGCAGACAGCTATGCTTGTGTTCTGACAGAGCTTAAGCTAGTGCCTGTGGACCAGTGATGACACCCTTAAAGAGCCCTTGCTCTTTTTCAGCCTCCTTATGGTGGACAAAGGATATGAAAATAGCAATTGCAAATGAGGACTTCAAAAAATAAACATCCTGAAAAAGCTAGAATTGTCGTCTTTCAGAAGGCAGTAAAAGTTGACAGCAGGCTTTGCCTTAATTTCCTTTATCTTAGAGTACAAAGTATAGTGACCAATTTAACACCCTTCTCTCTCTCTTTCTCTGTGTGTGTGTGAAAATGTTTCCTGTCAGCAAGTGAACATGAGATAATTGTTTTGTTTCCAATTTTTCCTGATAATCTCATAGAATGTATGCATTTCATATAATATATTTTGATCAAATATACCCCCAGTCCCTCACTTTCACTTCCTTCCCTTTCTCTCCCACTACTTTTCTCTCTCAACTTTGTGGTTTTTATTTTTTTTAAACCTCTTGAGTCCACTTACTGTTACTTGTATGTGCAGTGGGTATAGAAACAACCACTGGAGTGTAGAAAGCCTCTCCAGAGTGCAGCTCCTTCCCCACCCACAATCATCAAATACCAACAGCTCATCGTCTAGTGTGCAACTCCGTGAGTCTCCCAATTCCTGCTAGGATTTTTGACTGCCTTTATCTTTTACAGGTTTTGTACAAATCATCACAGTTACTGTGAGTTCATGTGAGCAGCAGCCCTGGCACTGTCATATCCACCAAAGAATGTTTTTATGAAAATGTCTAGATCTGGTTCTGACAATTCTCTTGTCTTCTGTAATGATGCCTGAGCCTTGAGGGAAGGAGGTATTATATAAATGACCAATTAGAGCTGAGAACCCCATAGTCTTTTATTCTCTGTATATTGACTAGTTATAGAAGTCTAAATTAATGTTTCTCTACTATAAATAGAAGCTCATGTTTAAGGACTGAGATACCCTAAACATGGCTAGAAGCATAAGAACATATGGGGCATATTGTTAGTATAATGATTTAGCAGAATAATAGTATTTTGCTTTACGCTAGAGCCTATTATAAAGATAGCAGAGGTTTGGATACCAGTTGAATGCCAGACAGGAGTTGCTTCTTGTAAGGGGGTCTTAAATCCAATCATAATGTAATTGGTTACTGACATATCTTGCTAGTCCTGTCACTATTGTTGCTGGCAGGATTCAGAGCTGTGTAACACTGTTGGTAAGACTATTGATGGCTCTTCTCCCCCAGTACCAGAACCTTCTATCTCTAGGAAAGCAATCTAGCAAGGATGAAGTGCAAAACTGCTCAGAAACACAATGAAAGTTCTAGAAAGTTCTGGAGATGCTTTAAAATGAAAGGCTCCAAAGTCCAACAGGCTCTAGGTCTGTCTGGTTTTCTCTCTCTCTCTCTCTCTCTCTCTCTCTCTCTCTCTCTCTGTGTGTGTGTGTGTGCGCATGTGTGTGTGGTTTTTACAACTGAATTCTGAATTATATCACAAATTTGAAGTTTTGTTAAAAACAACTACTCAAATTATTTTCTATTCAACCCGTATTAAAGTTCATTGAGACACATAGACTAGGGTCTAATTAACATGGGAGTGTGATTTGTTTTATTTGCAATTTTTATGATAAATTATATAAAATTTAAAAGAAATAAATGATGGAAGAAAGGAAGCAAGAAAGTAGACATTTATTTCTGATAGTTCCAGTAGATGGGACCATATGGTGAGAGTAAGGAATGGTGTGTTCTCAGAGTACTCTTACTGTTCTTGTATCTTCCAGTCCTTTGAAAGGATGCCATGGCATACTACATACTTCAGAAAGGTATAATGATCTCCCAAATGTCACTCTAAGTGACATTAATAAATGAGTTTAGGGATTAAATTTTTATACAAGAAAGTGATATAAAGTCACTTACTCAAACATTTCAAAATAATATACAATAATAAAAACAGTATAAAAATTGTATGCTTTAATTCTGACCTTTCACAGGCCTTCAAGTTGTGGAGAGAATAGAACCATACACACCCAAGCTTTACATAAACCCTGTGTTAAAAAAAATAAAAAAAAAAAAAAAAAAAAAAAAAAAAAAAAAAAAAAAAAAAAAAACAAAAAACGACTGCAGCACTGGACAGGTAAGGGATGAATAAATATTTATGAACTCAGTCTCAGTATAGCAAAGACTACAAAAACTATAGTCATGGCTGCTCAGGAAATAGAAATATTGACAAATTACAGAAATCAAATAGTACAGCAAGCAAGAGAGTTATTAATAAATTTGAAGGAATAGTAACTACATAAGCATCTGCAAGGCAAACAAACATAAAGTGAAAATCAACAAAGTCCCAAGAAAATTGTTATGTTATCTTATACAACCAATATAATTGTAGCATGATATCAAGAAAACAAAATCTAAAAATCAGTAAGATAATTTAACAACTAAAGCCATGTTGATAAATTAATGTTAAAAGATGAAAAGATATAATTGATCCTTGCTAAATTGATGAATAAATTGGTATTGATCAGAACTGAAATAAAGGCAGCAGAACAATTAAACTTAACCCCCTGCAAATAACAAGAATAGTCTTGAGATTATCAGAAATAAGGAAAGTAAGAAAAATAAATAAGATTAATTCAGTTAGATATGTGATGGTTAATTTTAATTATCAACCTGACCTAATTTAGAATTACATTGGCAGAGAAGCTCTCTAAGTTAGAGAGTGGCCTGTGAGCATGTCTGGGAGTGCTGGTCTCAGTTATATTAACTGAGGTAGGAAGACTCAGTCCACTGTTTGAGGCATCTGGGTTTGCATCATGGACTCTATAAGAGAAGAAAAAGCTGGTTGAAAACTTAGCCTGCTGGTATCTGTTCTCTTTGCTCCTGACCATGATTGTGACGGCTTTTCAAGTCCCTGCCACCTGACTTCTCTACAACGATGGGCTGTGATCTATAATTATGAGCTGATTAAACACCTTTTTGCTTTCTGTTTTTTTTTTTAGCTTATTTTATTGCAACAACAGGAAATAAAGCAAGGACAGACAGATTAGAAGACTAATCGATATAACTAAAATAAAAGTAAACAAGATCAGGATGCCTGGTATATACTTTGATAGCAGAATATTTTTTGAGATAAATTTTAAAAAACCTGGTAGGCATTAAGAACATATAGTATTTTAGAAAAATATATGTAGGAAAACTTGTCATAGAACAGGAGGAGGAAATATGTATCTCATTCAAAACATTGGAGTTTGAGCATTTGTCTTTGAACATTCAACAGAAAAACAACTTAGCTAAGACATAGGCATAACCAGCCTGACTTCAGATATTTACACACAGAAACAGTCAATGCAGAATGGCAATAGGTCTTTGTCTATTAAGACCACAAAGAAAAAAAAAGGTAATACAGTTCAAAGCAACATAACATTCATAAGTACATATTGTTTTCATCTGTCAATTAAAACTAAGCAAAAAACTAGTTGTATATTAAGAATATTGTCTGTAGAGTACTCAAACATGTCAACAGGAAGCATCTATTAGTAAAATCTTTATTAGTAAAATCTTAAGAGGCATATCACTTTATATACTAATTTGTGGATATTTTGAAAGAAACTATGAAGTCTTGGTAAGTTTCTGATATCAGATAAGATCAATTTAATTAAAATGAGAAAAATATTAAGATAAACTATAAGATAACAAATGACTACTACTATAGAGGTTTAAATAGGGGATAAGTAGATTGGGTAGAATGACCAGTCTTTGTATTAATGAATTGACTGTCATTATGAAGGAGAAATAGTGATGGAAATGACACATCGAGTTCCAAGAAAAGTGTCAGTAAAAGCATGAATGGTGATGTTTCCTTGCTGTACTTGATCATCTTTGTGATGCCCAGGTGCCATCAGTGGCAAGGAGGTAGAAATCAATGATAGAAGAAAAAGATTTAACGAAATAAGAAACCAAACCAAACCAAACCAACAAAACAAGGAAACCATGGTGCATCTCTTGGGCTTTGTCCACAAAGATCTAATGCCACAAAAACTTTTAGAAATGGAAGTGCATTTTATGGCGTCTAGTATATAATCAGTCTTCCACATAAAGGAATACGGTAATAGCTTCCATATTACCTGAAATGGCTTGAATTCTGTCAATTTTATTCTCCAACTTATCTTTCTATTTCTAGAACAAAAGGGTGGAGAATATTTAGATGATATTCTGAAATGATTTTAGTACAGGTGGGCATATATGGCATTTGCATTGTGTTGTATATTGCTCTTGCAGTATCTTGGCAAATGACTTAATACCATTTCTATATGAATGGTTTTATACTATTACTGTTAATTATAGCAAATGATAAAAATTTATGTATATAAAAACACTACCATAATTAAAGTAAGAAATTTGGTCAAAAGAGTTATAATCACAAGGCCAAATTCTTAGAAATAAAGAAAATTCCATTAACACCTATATAACTAGCACACTGTTCTAGTTGAATCTCAGAATGTAGTTATTAACTCTAAAGTCTTTGCTCTGTGAGTGGATTTCTGTGAATTTGGATTTTTGATATCTACAAACAAAAGAATATGAA